GTGACCTGGCTGAAGTCGGACGCTTAACCGACTGCGCCACCCAGGCGCCCCATGTTTAGCCTTATTTCTAAAATGAAATACTAGCTTATACATAAAAGAGCTCATGGCTCTTTTTCTGTACCCGGCACTGTTCTAAGTACATTACATATATGGGCCAAATGAAGTCTTAGAAAGCCTTAGGACTTAAATCAGACTATTGTTCCCATTTTACAATGAGGAGACTCACGTACAGAGAACTTAAATAACTTATCCTAGGTCACAAAGAGATGTGATTCAAGCCCACATAGTCTGTCATCAGAGTCTATACTCACTACCAGTCATTTTACATGGGCCCCTTTATTTATGAAGGCTTTGTTTTGATTCTGCCCTCTCTTGGATGACTGAATTTTGTCATCAACATTTTTTTTTCTTTCTCAAGAAGAGCATGTAGGTGTTGTTTTGTTTAAGTTCTCTCATGCTGGAGAGTGTATCTTTTGCCTTTGTATGAAGAGCAAATGTGCTGAATACAAATTTCTAGGTCACATTTTGCTGCAGAACCCTCTAGGCATTGTTCTACTGTCTTCTGAAGTAGATGATTTTGTGGTGTGTCTGAGGCCCACCATATTTTTCTCTCTTGTGTGTAACTTTTTCTTTTTTGCTTTGTATATAACTTTTGCTTTTCTCTGTTGAGATTGGTCCTTTTCCTTTCATTAGGATATATTTTGGTTTGGGCATCCTAGGTCATGTTATGGCTTTTTGTCCGAAGATTCAAACCTTTATTTTGGAATAATTTTCTCCTGTCACTTTTTGGGGAAAAAATTAAAAACTCATTTGGTTTTATTCTTCAGGAATATCAATTATGTGTCTGTTAGATCTCCTTTGACTTCAGTGTCTATCTTTTCCAATATATTTTGTATCATTGCCCCTTCCCATATCTTTCTGGGGTTTTGAAAAAGTCTGTCAATTATGTCCTTTACTGTGTTTTCGATTGTGTTATTTCCATTTTCATTTCTCATATAGTGTTTTTAGTCATGGTTTTCTATATCTATTCCAGTGTTTTCCCCCGGGCTCTGCTCCCCTCAAAGCTGTCTGACTTGCCTTTTACCTTTATTGTTTTTTGAACTGTTCCTATTATCTTGGATAATTCCTCTTACATCTATATTCTTTATCTGTAGGTTGATTACATTCTTTTATTCTTTTTTACTTTCTTCCTACAGTATATATGCATAAAGCCTGGATGGCTTATTTCTTTTTTAAAAATATTTTTAATGTTTATTTATTTTTGAGAGAGAGTGAGCAGAGGAGGGGCAGTGAGAGGGGACAGAGGTTCTGAAGCAGGCTCTATGCTGACAACAGAGAGCCCGATGTGGGGCTCAAACTCACAGTGAGAACATGACCTGAGCCGAAGTCGGATGCTTAACCAACTGAGCCACCCAGCGGCCCCTGGATGGTTTATTTCTGATACCAACAGGGAGAAGCTAGTTGAGGTATGAAGTGAACAGTGAAATTGGGCAGTCTTCAGCTTCCTATAACGATGACTTCCTCTTTCCTAAGCATTCATATACTCTTCATATTTGGCATTCAGGAGGGTAGTATGGTATATAGTAAGTCCCTTAAACCACCTCTGGAAAATCTCTTAAACTCTCTCTCAGCTACCAGACAAGATTATAGATAATACAAATTATTGCTATCAGGGTTTCTCCTTCAGCTATCCCTCCTCAGGGATAGCTTTTCAGTGCAGAATTGGTGTCTCCCTAAGGGCACTTACTGCTTCTCCCATGGGTTCCTCATATCCCTCCATCTTGGTGCTTTAATTAAAGACTCTTTGAAACTATCATTTATTCTCAGAAGTACATATATGTTGCCTGAGGTGCAAGGCTGTCAGTGTTCACCATCATTTCTGTTCAAATTTGAAAGGGGTTGGCAAGTATTTTTCATGATGCTTGTTTGGAATTGTAGTATTTCCCTGTTTAAAGATGACATTAGGAATCCAGGAATGCTTTACCTGGGAGGTTTTAGATCAGAGCGTCCCATGAGGTTTCAATCATCTCAAGGCTTGAGTGGGGCTGGAGAATCCCATCCCAAACTCACTGTCATGATTGCTGGCAGGTCTCAGTTCTTTGCTGACTATTCACTGGAGGCTTCAGTTTCCTCCCACATGAGTCTCTCCATAAGGCTGTTAGCACATGGCAGAATGCTCCCCACAGAGAATGAGATGTGAGAAAAAGAGAAAGAAAGAGAGCGAGAACAAGAGAGCATCCAAAATGGAAACCACGTTCTTTCACAATTTAATTTCAGAAATGATGTACTATCACTTCTCCTATATTTGGTTGGTCATGTAGATAAATCCTAGTATAGTGTGGGAAGGGACTACACAGGGTGTGAATACCAGAAGGGAGGGATCATAAGGGTTATCTTGGAAGTTGGCTACCACAAGTATATATATGTGTGTGACTATGTATATGCATTCATATGTATGTATGTATATAATATATATTACACACATGCATAAATTAACCAGAAGGATGTTTATATCAATTCTAAATTTATATGCACTTAATAACACAGCTTTGCAATATATAAGTCAAAAATTAATAGAACTACAAAAAGAAATAGATAAATCCCCTATTATAGCGGGAGATTTTAGCTCACTTACCCAGTAATAAATAGACATAGTAGATGAAAATGTCTCTAAAGATAAGTTTTGAATAAGACAATTAACAAGCTCAATCTAATGGACATATATAAAACCCCATAAAACAGTTGGAGAATGCACATTCTTTTCATGCCACACAGAACCTTATGAAATTTGACTACTTAATAGTCCACAATTCAAGTAGTAATACATCTTAAAGAATTGGAACCACAATTTTTGACCACAATGCAATTAAAATTCAGATCACT